TCTCTCTCTCTCTCTCTCTCTCTCTCTCTCTCTTCTCCTCTTCTCTTCTCACCCTCTCTCTGTTTCTTTCTCTTTGTACATTTGTCCATCTGTCCGTCCGATCGCTTGTGTCTATTTGCACATTTGCCTATATACTTGCATGTCTTTCCAAATCTTTCTCTGTTTCCCTTTTAGTGATAAATAATAAACCAATATTAGATTACAATTCTAAACCAATAATTTCGCGTATAATAATAATGATCCGGTTTTGAATATCTATGTTATATACATATATATAACTGGGATAGCGATCGAGAATGAAAAAACGGAGAAGCGTGCAAATCTCGTTCGTGCGATCGCGAATCGTTTCGTGACAGGCATATACATAACATACTTAAATACTTTGTCTCGAATTAAGATCTCTGCTTCTATTATCTTGTACATAAATCTCGAAACATTCGCGATCAGCTTCCTTTGTAATTAATATTGTATTAAATCTAAGTGAACGTATTAGCTATAATTATTCCTACGGTGAACGTGAATGCTTTAGCTAACGTTTGAAGCGTGTGTTAATCGATTTACGCGCATTATTATTGTTAACGATATACAATTGTATTTACTTTTATAAAATAATGTCGAATATTGTAATTAAAATTCTATACCAAAAATACCATTCTGTATCCACGAGAGACAAATAAATAAAACAGATGAAAACAAATCGCGTTTAAACAATCTATCTTGTATCCGAACGTTCGAACGTTCTTCGCGCAATACATTTTCTATTTATTTGTTATTATTATTATTATTATTATTATTATTATGGAAATCATTTTTAAATACGGAAAATATAAAAATTATAAAAATTTTATGTTATGAAAATTATGATTCTTCTTTAATCATTACTTCTTTCTCATAATTAATAATTTTATTGTTGCTATTCGAACGAATCAATCTAATCGTTTATCATTCGATTATGGAATGTAGAAGATTTGAGAGAAATTTTCTATATTAATTATTAATAAACAAAAAAATTTCGTGTTAAAAAAAAATTCGACACGAGAAGATTTTTAATTCCAAATGCGAATCTAAAGATGCACAAATATTATTATTAATAAAAAAGCTTGTAAATTAATTAATTTTTAATGTCGAGTTTTCAAAATGCTAAAAAATATCAAGAACGCAAAATCAAAGCTACCAATATCTCCATCTTTATCTTGCAATGTTGTTTTTTTGTTTCTAACGTCACGAATACCTCCTTATACATTCTGCTTTATAAATAGTGAAATAGAGGTTTCAACATCCAAACGCGAGATGGCGTTAATCCGAGAAATTTTTTTTTGAATCTTGTTTAACATACGAGAAATATGTATATAAACGGAAATACAAAAGTAAGTAAATAAGTAATATCAGAACGAATATTCCAAAATGAAATAAATATTATAAATGTTGCAAAAATACATTTAAAAGTTAGGAAAGCTAGAGAATTTCTTTGGAAAAAAGGCAAAAAAAAAGATTTATTTTTCAGAATTATTCCTAAAAATCACGTAAAATTCTGAAAATATTACGTCTATTTGATGTTTTATTCGTTTTTTTATTTATTTAAGTAACAAATGTTTATTTATAAAACAAACAATTTTTAAAATGTCTTAAAATTTTTTATTCTCTATTCTCCATTGAAATTTTTGTTTTGATTATAAATTTATGTTTCTTTGTTGTTTTCATTTCTTTTATTTTTAAATTCTTTCTTAATTTAAAATCTTACTCTTTTTTATTAAATTAATTCAAGTTTAAAAAAGTTTTTTCCTATTTTTATAACACGAATATTTATTCGTGAAAAATGAAATCGATTATAAAATTTATAATTAATATTATATAATGGCAATCGATCGGAAAAACTCGTCGAAGAATATTGTCGATTCTTTCACATTTTTCTTTTTGTCTGAAACAAAAAACAAAATAACATAATATTTTATATTTAAAAAACTCTAAAAAAGTATCTGTATATTATTTTTTTTATAAATTAAATTTACTTGAGTATATTATCAATCGCTTCTATTATCTTCAATTATAAACAGAATATGAAATCTGTCTATCTATTTCTATATATATATTTATATGAAATCATGAAATCTATCCTCGTGATTGAAGGAAAATTGTTTTTTGGAAAAGGGATCTTTTGCCCGAATTCTTTTTCTCTGTATCTTTATTACATTTCGAGCTTCTTTTGAACCTATATTATAGAAATTATAGTATTAAACAATCCACAAATTTCAATCTTTATGCAATAATAAAATACAATTGTTAATGTCTAATTTTCAAAATATTTTAATCATAACTATAAGATAATAGAAAAAATATTCTTACAAATACTGTTCATTAAATATACATGCATATCTATCTTAAACTTCAATTGATAAATATAAATCCATTTATAATTTTATATGTATCTTTAGAAACGACTTTTCTAAACCTGTAACAAAAAAAACAGGTTAATTAGTTTAAAGATTCATTTTTATCACATATTTACTTACTAAAAATGTTTTAAATTATTCGACGATAAGAGACTACAATATTGTATGATAATGTTGTATAAATATGATACGATCGAACAGAAGAAAAACGTATTGCTCTCACTTTCACGAGAAAACTTTCCATGAGATAACTAAAAATTTCATTAAATAAATACATAAATATATAAAATAATCAATAATTGCAAATTATATTATCGATTTTTTTAAGCTTACACTACAATACAATTTTAATACAAAATCTCCTACTTACATGGATATCTTGCTATATTTATTATTATAATTCTTATTAATAAAATATCAATAATTTCTTTAATTTTTCGTGATATTTTAAAGATAAAATCTAAATACATATAAATCTTATAATATATAATAAGTATTTATATCTCGTAACATAAAAATGTAGAATATTTTTTTCCTTTTCAATTGCAAACATATATATAATCAAAGGGATATATATATATATATGTAATATTACAAAATTTGAGAAGCAACTATGATGTATTATATACTAGAATACATATCATTTTCATCGATAAAGAGAAAAATGCAAATTTTCGCATTATTAATCGTTTGCAAATATTATATTATATATTAAACGAAAACGAAATTAAAGTATCTATTTAAGATCTTTTCCTTAATAAATACGTATTTTTTTTCTCTTCTATATTCTCTTCTTTTATTATCATTTGTACTCAAACAATCGTAAAACGTTCAAAAAAGCGCTAATATAGCCTTTTAATAATTATGCATAGCGATTCCCTTCTTCTTTACTTTACGAATGTAAGTTGTTTTTGGTATGACAGAAATGGTATTTATGTTACAAACTTTTCGGGAATTTTTTAAGGGATCGATGCGCAACAACGATGACGAAGTTTGGCGTAATTCCATCGTATCTATCGCTTCGGACTTCGTTTTGTTTTTTAAATCTTTCACGATAATAGAATGCATATGCCATCTATGGGGAGAAGGGAAAAAGAAATAAAGAGAAGACAAATGAAAATGGAATAAAATCGGACGATAAATCATCCCTAATAAAGTGATTTAATAATCAGAGAATAAAGACCTGGGAAAATATTGGTAAACAGTTTTCGACGATGATTCGAATAAATTCGTAGAAATACTCGGCCCTTTTTCACTCGACATTTTACTGGATAAAGGATTCATAGAAGATTCTATATCGATACTTTTTCTCAAAACTACAAGAAATTTATCGGCAAATCGATCTTGTATAAAAAACGGATGTTCCAAGAGCATGAAAGATTTTGATCTTAAGTCGGGATCCATACGAAGACATTGAGCCAAAAAATCGATGGCGACTATATCCCATTTGGGAAATAATTTACGAATCGAGAAAACACCGGACTGAGGTGGTCTTATGAGCTCATCCGCGCTCGCATGCCGCAATATTTGACCAGGTCTGGTACGATCTATTAAACTTTGATGCTTCATACATAGTCCTCCTAAAA